AGAGAGGGACTGTAGGTTTGTTCTTAAGTTGAATCTGTATGGAAGTCAGACCTGGCGTCCAGATTCAGCCGCTGTTGAAACTGACCGCCAGTTCTGACTTACATACAGATTCAACTTAAGAACCCCAAGTCAGAATTGGCGGTCAGTTTCAGTAGCGGCTGAATCTGGACGCCAGTTCTGACTTACATACAGATTCAACTTAAGAACAAACCTACAGTCCCTATCTTGTACGTAACCCGGGGACTGCCTGTAGTGAGAGCCTACCTTTCCCTCTCCATACTAACTTACACAACGCAGTTTTTTTCCAAGTAACTTTTGTAGTCACTACTGGTAATTAAGGATGTTAAAATACATTTACACAAGTACATGCATAACTGCTGAATTTTTCAGTGGTTACATGTTTACACACCTGAGAGGGAGGGAGCAGGAGCCAGTTTAAGCTGGCTCCTTACAGCATCAGCTCCCGTTTCCCCCCTCATTGCAGACAGCTCTGCAGGAGAGCTGTCATGTGTGGGGAGCAGGCTGAAAAGCTGAATCCCCTCATGTACCAGCTCCTGCCTGCGCCCTTGTGCTGCTGCCTCTGCTACAGTCAGAACGTACAGGGAGCTGGCTTGAAAGCTGGCTCCCTGTGGGTACTGGCTCACATCTACTCCTCCATTCCGATGCTGCTGCCTCTGTGGGAGGCAGCAGCGTGGGAGGACACGGACAGGTAGCTCTGCGGAAGCCAGCTCATCATGTGTACCGGCCCCTGCCTGTCCCCCATGCTGCTGCCTCTAACCAACAACTATAGTTACACTAATAATTCATTTTAGCATCCCTAAAAGAGATACTGTGCAAACCACTAAGCATGTGTTAGTGTATCTGTTTAAATGGTTAACCGATGAGCCTCACAGTTACACACAAGGCTCCCTCACCCCTGTGGCCTCTGTATAAGAGGCAGTGGGGGAGGAAGAGGAGCAAGTGGGAGCCAATTTTTAAGCAGGCTCCCTGAAAACACTGACTCCCACAAAACTGCCTGTCCCTTTGTGCTGCTGCCTCTGTATCAGAGGCAGCAGCAGGGGGCATGGCTGCATGTAACTGAGAGGGTTAACCGATGAGCCCACGTTCATTGGTTAACCGTGTATTAAGGTACACATTTACATCCCTAATGCTAAAAGTTTATTAACTTTGATAAGATATTATCTACAGTCTTGTATTCTTGTTTCTTTAATCATCTCCCTTTCAAACCAGCAACTATAGATACATTATCATATTTACTGTATTTGTATGACTTCTTTAAATGGAGGGAGCAATTATGAAATAGTCCAAAACACCAGGTTCAAAGAGATGCATCCTCTTCAAACAGAATTTATACAAAAAAAAATCAAATCAGTTAACTTTACTTTGACATAAATGACTATTACTGACATATGTTCAAAATCTATTAACTTACCACCCGTTTCTCGGGCAAGTACAGTACAAACTCGAACTTCAGCAGAAAGGCCGATGACAGATACTCTGATCTTAACTGCCTTTAAACACTTCACATGGGAAAACAAAAAACACCCAAATACATCAGCAGAATAGAAAACTGTAAAAGGTACATACATTTTCAATTAAGAATTAATGACAACGATTCTGTAACTTTTTTTAAGCAGTACTAATTCACTTCTATACCTTAATTAGATCATATATATTAGATGGATCACATGTTGTCAGGCTGCTGAAGATAATCAAAACCTCTCTGCTTGTATGTCCTGGCATGTGCCTATAGAAGGTAAAAAGATATATATTTAAATTAGCTCTAAACTAAGCATGTAACAATTACATGCATGTATGCTAAAGTTTTATGCTGTAGCTTTATAAAAATCCCCCAAGAGTAACGTTTTCTAGGATTCTCTTGTATAAAATTCAGAAAAAGACATGGCTAATGCCCACAAATTCCAAAGGATGCTGTAAATCCCTCACAGAACTGCTCCCATAAGGTCATAATTATCCAATATCTAAGCCACTCAAAATGTCCCTGTCAGTTGATGGCTTATTATAGTTCTTGAACTTACGCTATTACAGTCCTGCAGGGAAAAATTACCATCAGTCTAATACCACCACAACAAATCATCTCCCAGCATTTTTCTTATTAACTTTATTCTATGATCAATTCAGACATGCAAATCTATGACATCTTTCACGGACAGCAGGTCTTCAAAGTTTCTACTGTCTTTTCATCTCTCTCACTGTCATATAGCAGAATATAGCAAATGCTTTAAGAAAATCTTTTCCACTTCCTACAGGAAAAAACACCATTAATTCAGAAATAAGTGTCTTTTCTTTTCCTTTTGAGATTCTTTAACAATTTAGACTTACTCTAACTAGCTGTTCTAGTAACTTACTGTAACCTCTACCACCACCACCTTTACTCTGGCCATTGTTCCTGGCCTTTCCTGCTCACTGGTCAGACTGTCCCTCAGACATCGGCTCTTTCTCTCACTTCTTTACCATGCAAGTTCCCTCCCAGCAAAAATCTAAAAAGCTACAATTTTAAAATTCACCTTTCATGGGATACGTTCAAAACCTGGCCAGATGATCTTGGCTAAAGCAGGTCATAGACTGTTCCTCTTCCCAATCCTACCTCTCTCATATCTTTAACTAACGTAAGAACAGCCATACTGGATCAGACAAAAGATCCATCTAGCCCAGTAGCCGGTCTTCTGACAGTGGCCAATGCCAGATGTCCCAGAGGGAATGAACAGAAACAGGTAATCAAGTGATCCCTCACCTGCCATCCACTTCCAGCCCCTGACAAACAGTGGCTAGGGACACCATTTCTACCCATTCTGGTTAATAAGTATTGGACCTAACCTCCATGAATTTATCTAGTTTAATTTAATTTAAATTGAGTTTAATTTAACTAACCCACCACACCTGCCATTCTCTCAGACCCTATCTCTACAGCCAAATTAAAAAGAAATAAATAGTTGCACGAATAATAATAGTTCCCATCAAAATAGGAAATTAACAAAATGGAAGGCATTTCATCATCCTGTTCATTTATCTGTGTTACATCCCCATTTCCAAACCTTCATCTTTTTTTATCATCATTTAGATTTTAAACTTCCTGGGACAGGGACTATATTGTCTTCAGCTGTGTTTGTAAATATACCCAGCAAAATGGGGCTTGCATCCTGAGTGACGCTACTGTAATATAACAGATACTATCGTAACAGAAAAATAATTCCTCAACTGCTCCTTTTATTACAGTAAACCGGATTTGAGAAGTCCCAGCCTCATAGCTGAGTTCATTAAAGCAATTCCTACAGACCATTACCTACACTGCTTTTCCATTTCACGTGACAGCTTTAGAGTGCACCATGAAAAATCTGTTTATAGCTGAGGAGCTGAGCCATGTACTATACAGAAAATAAATTTTAATGTTCTTTGCTTTAATGACTATGTAGTTAAAAGCAGAGGTGTAAGTAACTTAAATTTCTTGAAGTTACTGCTGTATTGCCCTCCTCCAGGAGGTGGGCTCAGAGTAGACGGTTGTCATAAATTTAAGTTTGAGAAGGAGGGCTCAGGGCAGGGGTGGACATGCACGAGGGAGACTCAGGCCACAGGTTGGGGATGTGAGGTGCAATTCAGGGCAGAGGGTTGGTGTGTACACGGAGGGGTGCAGGAATCACAACATGGGCGGCCTCAGGACAGGGATGTAGGGTGTGGGAGAGAATGCAAGGGGGGGGAGGTCAAGGGCACCCTTTAGGCAGGATGGGAGGACTGAAGCCCCGTGCTTAAACTACCAGGATACTGCTTGCAGTCCCCCTTTCATCACTATCAGGACGTAAGAGGAACAACAGACAGCATGGGTCACTGACTCCCCTATTCTCTGCCCTCAACAGACAGGAGGGAGAGGAACGCAGGGACACACTGAGCTTTCCCCTTGCCCCCCAACAATGATGGAAGGAAAACAGCAAGCAACAAGCAGCTCCAGGATGCCTGCTGCTTAATTCAAGGAAAGCTGCTTTTCTTCAGGAAAGCCCCAGGAGCCCAGTGGGTGCTCACCATGCCTCCTCCTGTAGTGTAGTGCACCAGATAGCTCTTACCAGAGTGGTGCACTAGGGCACAAAGCCTTACTTTCACCTCTGATTAAAAGTTCAAAATCTGCACATTTCAGCTCTTTGCACGCAACAGCTGTGACCCTGCATACCTCTTCAAACTAAAGCATCAAATCCCAAACACAAATATTCAAAGTGTTAATACTGGCAGTATCTGTTTCCCCCAAGTATTGAAACTGAAGAGTGAATCAAGAGACAAGATGACATTTGATATTTCTGATGTACTTCTCTAACAGTTGTGTCCTATGTGTTTTGGTACTTTGAGCTCTTATAGAAACAGGGAAAAAAAAGACATTTCTCACTTCTTACTAATATCATATAAAGCTTCCAATTTGTCCTAGTAACAAGCAGGGATCGACAAATGCACTCGCCTGCAGCGAGTAGATTTTTCCAGCTGGCGAGTGCAGGGGCAGACTGGCCCGGTGGGCCATTGTGACGGGCTGGCCAAAGGCCGCACTATGGGCGGCGCGGCCCCATCCGACCCGTTGGTCGGCGGAGGAGCACAGCACCGGTGGGAAGGGGGAAGTGCGGCGATTCTTCCCACCGGACTGCCTGCGCGAGGAGGCGGGGCAGGACACTGGCGTGACGTGGCCCCGCTGATTTTAAAGAGCCACAGCAGCTCAGCTCTGGCCGCGTGTCCCTGAGAGCTGGCTGCGTCGTGCGGCACAGCCAGAGCCTGCCCTGCAGGCCCCCAGTCCTGCCACGGCCTCAGCCTCTGTCTCCGCGCCGCCCGTTCCCCATGCTGCTCCTGCTCCGCTGAACCCTGGGCCCCCTGCTCTCCTTCTTCCCTGCAACCCTCTGGCTCTGCACCACCCTTGCACCCCTCAATCCCTGCCCGCCCCCAGTTCTGTGCTGCCCAATTCCCTGCACTGCCCCCAAACCCTGATCCCTCTGCCCCTCCTGTTCTCCGCATCCCATTCCCTATGCCTCCACTGCACCCTGCTACCTCCCGATCCCTGCATCCCTCTGGCTCTGTGCTGTCCCTGCACCCTGATCCCCCTGTGGGTTGGGAGTGAAGGGTGCTTGCCCATAGGGAGGGGCTGAACAGGGCAGGGAAAAGGCTGCTGTGACCCAGCAGCGAGTGAAAGGGGGAGTTCACTTGAAGCGCCTTTGCCTTTATGGAAAAAAACAAATGAAAATGCTATTTGTTATTTATAGGGCTAAAATGCAGGGACAAAAAAGAAAACAAACAAACAAAAAAAAACCATTGCAAAATGCACACGTGTAAAAGACAGCAATGGGGGGGGAGGGGCGGAACCTAGAGCTGGCACCCGGGGATGGGGAAGGGGCTGGGCTGTGGGAAGGATAGGGGAAAAATACGGGGAAGGCACTTGTGCTGAGGGAAGGAGGTCAGGAGAAGAAGAAGAAAGGGGAAGGCACCAAGGGACAGGGGTGCAGGACAGACAAATGCCAGGTGGCCAAGTGCAGACAATGAGGAAAAGGGCAGGAAGGGAGGTGTCAGTGAAAGGGGGGGGACAGGGTGATGATGGGAGAGGAGAGGGTAAGGGCACTGGGGGCTAGAGGGGGAGGGGCTGGGAGAAGGCTTGAAAGAAGGGGTGGGCATGAGGAAGGCAGGGATGAAGCAAGGCATCTGAGGGCACAGGGGCATGAGAGCAAAGGGGGCAGAGCCAGTGAGGGAAGGGGGAGGCACCAGGAGGGTGCAGGTGCCAAGGGATTCTGGGGGTGAAGCAGAAGGGCAGACACCTGCAGGGGAGGAACCAGCTCCAGAGGAGAGAGGCAGGGCAGGTGTGTAGAGGGAGGTGTTAGGAGAGGGGATGAGGAGAGGTAGCTCACAATCAGAGTGGGGCTACTGGAGGAGTGGGCACAGGGCGGAGAGAAGGGCTGGCAGAGGGGGGCAGGTCTCAGGAAGGCTGAGGGCAGTGAGAAGGGCAGGAGTCAGGACATCAGAGGGTGAAGGGTTGGTAGGACTCAGGAAAGCTGAGGGCAGTAAGAAGGGCAGGAGTCAGGACAGCAGAGAGTGAGGGGTTGGGGGGCAGCAGGCACCAGGGGAGCTGAGGGAGCAAGGGGAGGAGACATGGCAGCAGAGAGAAAAGGTAGAGGTTTATAAGATATTTATTAATAACCTGGGTGATATTTATTAATGACTTATTAGTAATTATTGTTCTTATTCTTATTAGGAATTTATGCCATTAAAAAACACTTTTTGTGGGGGGAGGGTGGCGAGTCCCTTTTTTGTCTGGCGAGTAGGGTTTTCCATAATTTGTCGACCCCAGGTATTAAGGATAAATTTGTCCTAGTAATAAGGACAAATACAGGGAGTACAGGCTCCCACCTGAACACCATCACAAAAAAGTTTTTGGCTGGGAATATTAAATGCTTTATTTTTATTTTGAATTGATCATTATGTTAACTGTGCTATGTACAAAGCAGAAGTTATTTATGTATATCACAGTAATACCTTAAGGTATCTTGGAAGGATCAGTGCAGCATTGTGCAAGTCATTACGCCCAACACAAATTCACTCCCTGCCACAAAAAGCGTTATCAGTATTTTATCTGTTTCTATTATTCCAAAAAGAATAAAACCTATTACAACATACATATACTAACTTTAAAGTCTGCATGGCCAAATTTAAAGAATTATAGAGAGATGGTTCTCCATGGCAGGTCTGATCTACAGCTTTCTTCAGAGCAGTTACATGCTTTCTTGGGTTCCCTATAAAACAAAAATAGAAACAAAAATCACCTGAAATGCTAGGGTAACAGAAAGATGCACAATTGTAAGATATTTTTAAAAGATGTAAGCCAATACAGGATGAAATACATAAACCAAAAATATCCTTCTGTATCACAGATTGTTTTAGTAACAACACTATTTAGTCTTTTATAAGCCTCAAAACATTGTATAAACATTAAATAACTCTCAAAGCACCAAAATGAGATGGTAATGATTCCAATTTTACAGATGGCTAAATAGACAAGGAGAGGTTAAATTACTTGCCTGAAGCCACACAGCTTGTTAGCCGTAAAAGTAACATTTAAAAAAAAAAATCAAGAGTTCCTGTTTTCTCAGTCTCACCTCTAATCCACTTGTGCATAAGGCCTCTATTAACTACAATTACAAAGTTTAAACAGATAACAGGAAGAAAACAGATAACAGGAAGAAAAAGAAAGTAACTAGTATCAGAGAAAAGGTATGTTTTTCATATATTTGAAAGACTAATGAAGCAGAAATATGAGAAGGCTGTTCCAAACAGAAAAGGCTCCTATGAAGATAGCTCTCACACTATGTTATGAAAATGTATATAAAAAAGAAAGCTGGTGCAAGGGAAAAAATGAGAAAAGAAAGGGGAGGCAAGAGAAATCCTTGTGTTGACACTCAATACAAATTACAGGCATATTACTAAGAGATAATCAATACTGAAATTCTATTTCTGCTCTTAAACACACGCACATACATATACACACACTAGAAGATTTACCCAGTGTTGCTTGGGTCCTGAACTCTTTTTTTCCCATTTAAATCACTGCTGTGGGGTGGAGGCGGGGATGAGAGGTTCAGGATGCAGGTTGCCCTGGAAAGACAGGACAACCCCCGACCTCTCTCACCATAGCAGCTTGGGGTCAGGTGAGAAGCACTTCTCCATGGCCACTGCAGGTCCAGAAGGCACAGCCTGGGGAGGGGTTCATGTCCGCAAGCTAGGGCAGGCTCAGGTTTATCTGCCCAGTGTTCCCCAGCTAGAGCAAGGAATGCAGCGAACTGTGCACTTTCCCCTCGCTCCCTGATGGAAGGGAACAGCCAGCAAAGTCACTATAAATTTGGGGGATTGAGAGCTTCAGCCCCCCGTCCTCTATGAAAGGCACTTGGGGAGTGAGAGGTTCGTGGTTAGGGCAGTCCTGGGGGCAGGCAATGCCCCAGTCAGCCCCTTTCATCTGTCTGGTGATTCCGTCTCTTTTCTGTATGGTTTTCTGTAAAGCAATCCCATTCTAGTAACATCCCATCCACCCCAACCAACCCTGCTTTAAGGTCTGATAAGAGGAAGCTGTATGTGAAATTTGGTGGTCCTAGCTCTTACCATTTAGGAGTTCTTAAACAGAACAGACAGATGGACAGACTCTCAAATATATATGGTAGATTTATACTCCTAGGCATAAGCAGTCTTCCTGAGCAATCAGAAACCTATCTCAAAACAAGCTACAATCCTGCAATTAGATACGCTACACCATTCTGGTACTCTACTGACTTAATTAGGTCTGCCTGTATGGAACAAGTTTCAAGATCAGGGCTGTAGAATGTAATAGTTATGTCTTGTCTATACAAAAAACCCCTGTCAATCTCAGCTATGGAAATTGCATAGCTGAAATTGACATATTTACCATGGGGTCTTCTGTGCGGTAAGGTCAGCCGTGACTTCTCTCCCATCGACACCGGCTACTCTTCTTGTCCTGGTGGAGTACCGGAGTCGACGGTAGAGTGCTCAGAGATTAATTTACCATGCGTAAGCAGACACAATATATCGACCACTGTTGGATTCATCACTGCAGTATTGATCCACCACGTAGTGAAGACAAAGCATGTTAAAATGAATAACCAGTTAACCATCTAACAGAGGGCCTGCTACCTGGCCCACCATAGCTGTGGAATCCAGCTGTCACTGGGAGGTCCTACTGCCTGGCCTGCCAGTCCCTCTGTGGCTGAAGTGCCATGGCACAGCACAGCTGGCTGCCACTAGAGTTCACTGGCAAGGGTCAGTTAACCGTTAAGTATTCCAGTAAGCTTCATACTTAACCGGTAAACATCTCTAGTGAAGACACAAGCCCTCCGAGTGACAATAATGCTTCTCTAATACAAAAGGATTCTTCTTTCCTACCTGAAAGTTCTGTCAGCTTTTCAGCTCTTTTACTCTTAGTTACAATTATGCCAATCTGCAAGAAACAGTTTTATTAGTGAATTATCAATTTGATATACATTCTTAGTAAGCACTAATCTACAGGCATACAATATCCACATAGTTCTCGGCTAGCTTTCTTTGCAAGCACAGTAATTTGAAAACCAACTCTCAGCTTGAAATACAGGAAATTTCTACAGGTTACACCTTCCTAAACTGTGACTCTCTGGTAGGACCACAGATATTCCTCGATCAGAGAGCCCTGGTGGTCTGGAGTTGGACAGCAAGAGGTCTGGCAGCTGGGAGCCCCGTGGCAGCCTGGCAGGACAGCTGAGGACAGTGGTAGCCCAGCACCCCTAGGGGAGCCGGGGCCACTGCAGCTCAACAACTCAACAGGGGGGTTGAGGCCAGAGCAGCCCAAAAGCCTGGCAAGGGAGCCAGGACCAGGGCAGTGGCATCCTGGCTAGAGACTGGGACCATGGCAACCTGGCAGCCCAACAGGGGGGACAGGGCTGTGGCAGCCCAGCAGCCAGCCAAGCCTGAGCTAGCGGCAGGGCGACCGGCCAGGGCCGGAAACTGAGCCAGCAACAGGCTGGGGAGGGCCAGTTGCAAGAGACCTTCCCTGGTCCAGCAAATTCCCTTATGCAGGATTGGTCAGGTCTCGAGTGTACTGGGCCACAGAGGGCCAACCTGTAGCACAACTCCCTTTGTATTAAGATGAAAATATTCTTCAATCCATTGGTACCTCTAGCTCCTAAGGATTAAAATGTCTCTCCGCATTCTCTTTCTGGCATTAATAATGCAATTTTAAATCCTAACTGTGTTAGCATTTGTACTTCAAAAAACTATAAATCAATATTCAACTGAATCACCAGCCTCATAATTTAATAGGAAAATAAAAATTACACAATTGGTGGAGATAAAGGAAAAGACTATTACTAATTCAAAATAAACCAATGAAATGTTTAATTGAAATTACCGGTAAATGAAAAATGTAAAATAGTTCTTCCAACTTTGTTTTGAGACAAATGCTTAATCAGTGAGTCTAGTGTCCAACACAGGTGTACATACCTGACTAATAGGATTCTGGTCAAAGTATTCTTCAACAAAATATTCCAAAAGCTATAAAAACAAGTTCTGAGTATTAAGATAATTAAACATGGCAGTCATTTCATATCCATTATAGTGCACTTATACAACCATTTAGAACCTTTAAATGCCCTCATTCTCCACCCTCTAATCCCCTACAACACTTGGTGTTTATATACTTTTGATCAAATAAATACCTTTAAGGTACAAGTAAGCCTGTTAGGTTTTAAATCTTGGTCCTCCATAGTTCTTGATCCATCAACCACCACATAAAGGTGACGCATCTGAACCATAATAATAAAAGATATTCATTCCACACATTCTTGGTTTGAAATAAAGAAACTTTTAGAACTCACATTAAGCACATTTATAAATCCATAATTTAACGAACTGTTGTTTATTTCAAGTAAATTAAAACAGAAAATATGTATAGCCTCCTCTGTCACATTGATAATATTTAAAGCACAGAACAGCATAAATGGCCTTTAAGGATTCTTTAGCTGCTGCAGATTAAAAGAGGTTAAATGTAAAGGGGGGAGGGAGAATAAAAATGTGAGCAGAAATGTTTTCTTGATAAATGACCACTGTTCTTACCTTTATCCTCTCTCAAAAGATGAAACATGGAATAATATTTTGTATATATATTAGGGATGTCAACATATAGTCCCCTACATGATTAACCCTGGGTTTATCAGTTAATCCTATTGACTACACACACTCACCAAACCCATACTGCCTCTGTGTTGGAGGGAGCGATGCCTATGTCCACAGGGAGCTCAGCTCAGCTCAGTTCCGCATGGATAGGAGCTGCTAACACCCTGCGCTGCTGCCTCTGTATCATGCCACATGATGGCAACAGCCTCTGTATCAAAGGCAGCAGTGCAGGGTGTCAAGGGGCTCGCAGGGAGTGGGGCTAGGAGCTCAGTGGCTACCATCCCTGCCCCCGGGGACTATCCAATAATTGTGTAACCGCTTAGATTTGATGCTTTATATACATATAAATAAAATAATTTCTACTGAAGAGTTTTAAAAATTAATCAGTTCTCACAACTGGTTTAAATTAAGCTAATATTATTATGCCCATTTTATACACTGGGAAACTGAGACACTAAGAGGTTATGTGATTGAATTGTATCATAAAATATATCCCACCGAGGGAAAAGAACTGAAGTCTCTTGAATATCAAACATTCTCTATTTAGCATACCACACACCAACTCAAGAAAGGAAAAAAAATTCTGTTGCACAGAAAAAGAAAAAAAAACTGTCAAATTCCCACACATCAAGTCATTACAAATATGTCTTAGATTTGATGCCACTATGTTATCTGAAGAAAGCAAACCACTTCAGCATAAATAATCACAGACACAGCAAAACTAGCTCCAAAGGTCATGGGGAATATATAAACATACCATTCCAAGTCTAACTTGTCCATGGTGTTCAAAGATTCTGTTAAAAATACAAGAGTTTAAGCTAAGACTATAACATTGGATTCTAGAACAGCATCGATAATTAAAAACAATCCTAGAGTTACATCAATGCAAAATTACCACTAACAAATATCCTTTTTTAAATACATTCATGTTCTAAATTAGAATATAACTAGGGTTGTGAAAAACTATGGAGGAAGGAGGCTCAGTATAAATTAACTGGCTCTGCGGATTGGGGAAGGTGGTGGACGTGATGTACCTTGATTTTAGTAAAACTTTCGATTCTGTCTCAGTATTCTTACCAGCAAGTTAAAGCAGTATGGATTGGATAAATTAATTGTAAAGTGGATAGAAAGCTGACTAGATCAGTGGTTCCCAACCTAAGATCCGTGGACCCCACAGTGGTAACATAGGGGATCTGCACAGCAGCCAGCATTTCCTTCAACCCGCACTGCTTCCTGCGGCTTGGGAAGCAGCGCGGGCTGAGAGACTTGCTGGCTACTAGCACAGAACCTCTCAGCTCAGCTTCCCGCAACTCGGGTTGAAGGACATGCTAGCTGCCGGCACAGAGCGTCTCAGCGGAGCTGACTCAATGCCAGCAGCCAACAAATCCCTCAGCTCATGCTGCTTCCCCAGCAGGCTCAGAGACACTGCCTGGGAAGCAGCATGGGCTGAGGTACGTGCAGGTTACAGGCACCGCTATATTGTTTGGAGAGGGTCTGTAAAATTTTAATAGATTGAAAAGTGGACCATATCCTCAAAAAGGTCCACTGGGCTAGATCATTGGGCTCAACAGATAGTGATCCATGGCTCAATGTCTGGTTGGCAGTCAGTATCATGCTGTGTCCAAGGGTCATTTCTAGGGCTGATAATGACCTGGATGAGAGGATGGATTGCACACTCAGCAAGTTTGCAGATGACACTGTGCTAGGGGGACAAGTAAATATGCTGGAGGATAGGGATAGGGTTCAGAGTGACCTAGACAAATTGGAGGATGAGGCCAAAAAGAAATCGGATGAGATTCAACAAGGACAATTGCAGAGTCCTGCACTTGAGACAGAAGAATCCCAAGGACTGACTGGCCAAGCAGCAGTTCTGTGGAAAAGGACTTGAGGATTACAGTGGATGAGAAGCTGGATATGAGTCAGCAGTGTGCCCTTGTAGTCAAGAAGGCTAACGGCACACTGAGCTACATTAGTAAGAGTATTGCCAGCAGATCTAGGGAAGTGATTATTCCCCTTTATTTGGCACAGGTGAGGCCACATCTGGAGTACTGCTTCTAATTTGGGCCCCCTGTTACAGAAACAATATGAACACATTGGAGAGAGTTCACCCGAGGGTAACAAAAATGATTAGGGAGCTGGAGCACATTGACTTATGAGAGGCTTAGGGATTTGGGCTTATTTGGAAAAAAGTGAGGGGGAATTTAGTATCAGCCTCCAACTACCTGAAGGGGGGTTCCAAAGAGAATGGAGAAAGCTGCAGTGGGGGAGGTCTAGGTTGGATATTAGGAAAAACGATTTCACTGGTGAAGTACTGGAATGGGTGGTGAAATCTCCATTCCTAGAGGGTTTTAAGTCCCAGCTTGACAAAGCCTTGGCTGGGATAGAGTTGGTCCTGCTTTTAGCAGGAGGTTGGACTCAATGACCTCCTGAGGTTTCTTCCAACCCTATGATTCTATGATAAAAAAAATCATAGTGTTTCTTAACAAATTTTAATGGAGTTGTTTGCTTTGAACATCTTTGCTACTCTGAAGTATTTACATAATCATAATGTATTTAAAAGTTTGAAGGTTTATAACTTTACATGAATCTGTGAATGAAAACCAGCCTTTGCCTCACATATTTTTAGACAGAGAATTTTAAAGAAAAACAATTAATCATTTGGTGCAAACAACACAGCACTGGGTAAATAACAGCTTGTCCAATAATGAACAAATTAAAATAGTCTGTATGTCAATATTTTTAGACAGCATACTAGCATACAAAGATAGATTCTGCTATTTACATTCAGTAATCTAGTTGCAACCCTCTGTACTGTCACATACAGAATGTGAGGTTAGGACCTAATTAATTTGGTAGAAGAGAGATAAATTACCCAGTATCAAAGGTCTTAGAGAAGTGTAAGTTGATGAGAAATCTCAAATTATTGTTCCTGGCACAATTAAGAAGTAGATAGAACTATGGAAGGGGAAGTTAAATCTAAGACATGGCATGAGGGAAAAAAACCAAGCATGTTTATTTATAAAGTATTGCAGTATGTTTAATCTATCTAGTGGGGACAATTTTAATCTCAATGCAATTCCTTTTCCTTAAATGTAGTTACACCAGAGATGAGCTTTTCCCAATGCATTTCCTGTGCTTCTGAACTGACTGCTTACCTTTTTCTCTTAGCCTTAAAAAGAATGTCCTCTATAGTTGCTTTCAGTGACCCCGATTCATCTTCTTTCAGAACCTCCCTAAAAGAAATATTTTATTACATAACAGCTGGGTTAAATTTTCTTTCTTAAAATAAAATAATATATAAAACAAAGCTTACCATGTTCTTTCATAACCCCCTTCCCAACGTTTGGTTCGTTCAGGTTCGTCATCCATGCCTGCCTGTCCAAAGCGGCTTGCGTACGACACTGTTAAGTACAACGATTACTTCTTTGTAAGCCAAGGCACTTAGATAAATTGTGTCTGAATTTAGGTGTCACCGCGCGCTGGAGCGGATCACGAATGCAGCAGATCAGCGTCGGCACCCCACGTGTGAGTGCAGAGGCCGGATTGGGCCCCTCACTAGCGCTGTGCGCTGGCTTTCGCAAACGCGCCTGCGGAGCGCGGCAAGGCTGGATCACGCTGCGCCCTTCTCCTGCGCGGGCCGCTTCCAGCCAGCGACGCTCGCTCCCACCCCGCACAGCGGCGCGCTGGGAACGGGGAGGGGCAGAACTGGGGCTGTAACGCGCGGGGTTAACGGGGGCGAGGCGGGGCCACTCTGCGCGGCTTGGCCGCCTGTGCCTGGCGCTGTCGCTCCCCCCGGCCCGCTCCGCCCAGGCCCCCCCGGGGCGGCGCGGC